GTCAGGAAATTTCTCCTCACTTCTAAGTTGCTTCTCTCCTTGACTAGTTTCCACCCATTGCTTCTTATTCTACCCTCAGGTGCCTATTATTCACCCACGCACACATCCACAGAAATTTATGTCTTTATTAAAAATATAAGCTCCTTTTTAATGACTCTGTAATCACTTCATTCAGGGTCAGGGCAACTACTGGGTGGATATAATATAACACAAATTTGTGTGGTATACATGTCAATTTATGAAAAGTGATGGAGAGATAAAAAATCATGTGAAAAGTGATGGAGAGATAAAAATTTCTAACACAATATAAATTCCCATAGAACTAAAATCATTACACATAAATCATAATATTAACATTGAACTATGTAAATTTATTATACAGTATACTAGGGTATTAAAAAAACTAAAATCATACATGCAGTCAATTAAAAAACCAACTAAAAAACCTTTTAAAAATCTGAATGACATATAAAAGTAATATTTGACTTACAATAGCTCATTTAGTGACTGTGAAAAGTTACTTTCAAAAGGGATTTATGACCATTTTTTTTTACTTATGACCTTTACTCATGATCATGTGATCAAAATTCAGATACTTGGCAACTGGTTCATACTTGTGACCATTGCTGTGTCCCAAGGTCACGTGATCCTCTTTTGTGACCTTTTGACAAGCAAAGTTAATGGGGAAGTCGGATTCACTTAACAACCTCCCTGTCTTGAAAGAAGAACCAATTTTTCACCAATCTTCCTAATCTGGGAAGGGACTGGTGATCAGTGGTGGGATTCAAATTGTTTTACTGCCGGTTCTGTGGGTGTGGCTTAGTGGGCGTGGCATGACTTGGTGGGGGAAGGATACTGTAAAATCTCCATTCCCACCCCACTCCAGGGGAAGGTTACAATTGTGGTCATATGTCAAAGCTCTTGTAGCTTTGATATGCTTCCCAAAGACAAACGCATCTCCTCAGTTAACTGAGGAAATATTTTAAAGATGCATCAAGTACAAAGCAATGTTCCACACCCAGAACTGTTTTTATATGAATACACATGTACACGTATGTATAAAGGAGAATATTTGTAGGTCTCAGGGTTGGCATGAGGGGTCCTTGGTGCTCTCTGAGCTTCCTTGTTTTCTTGCAGACATTTCATTACCCAAACTAGGTAACATCATCAGTACTAGTTAGGGTAAGGGTGTCAAATGTAAGGCCCATGAGCTGGATTCTGTCTGTGTGGGTGCTTAGATCTGATCCATGGGACCACCCTGGAAACAGTGAAGNAGAGTCAGCATATCGCCCCCACAGTCTGGGTCCTCATTTCACCCACCTCGGAAGGATGGAAGGCTGAGTTCAAAATGTTTTTGTTGCATTCAGAAATAAAAAATTGTTTTCTCTGCAGCAGTTCAATGATTTCATAAATGAAACACACTATAGTTTTTTTTTTACACGTAACATAAATGCAAAAAAATAATAGATGCAGTGCTCTCTTTGTTTTAGGTGTCAAAGGGGTTTTGTGGCTCTCGGTGTTTTCTTCTCTGTGGGAGATGGGTCCAAATGGCTCTTTGAGTGCTTAAGGTTGCCGACCCCTGGGCTAGTTTAAAGCCAGGGCTTTGTCCACATTGTTAAACAATCTCAGCAGTGGTGGGATTCATTTTTGTTTTTACTACCAGTTCTGTGGGCATGGCTTGGTGCACATGGCATGGCTTGGTGGGTGTGGCTTGGTGGGTGTGACAGGGGAAGGATAATGTAAAATCTCCATTCCCACCCTACTCCAGGGGAAGGATACTGCAAAATCCCCATTTCCTAGCAATCAACTGGACTCGTGAGGCAGTGGTGGTATTTCTCCGAGCAACTCAAAATTTCTGCTACCGGTTCTTCAGAACTGGTCAAAACCTGCTGAATACCACCTCTGAATCCCAGGTTGATACCCTATGCAAATTAAAAACTCATTCTAGTTTTTGCAGTTCTTTGAACATTGCAACGTACTTTTCAGACCTCAAATTATCCTAGCTGGCTAGGGAATTCTGGGGGTTGAAGTACACATATCTTGCCAAGGTTGATAAGCACAGCCCAACACTCAATAAACTGTCCTCAGGTTGAGAGAGTTGCACCTCAATGCTCCAGTTCTCATATTCTTGAATCAGGCCAATGACTCTTGATACTTGTGCCTAGGAAAATGGCAATCCTTTTGCTTCTGTGCCACTGGTACCATCCATGCTGCATGCTGGGCTTCCTTAAAGAAATAAATGTACAGTTGATGTTACCATACCTGCTCACTGCACCATGATACGACCATATGAAGTGCATAATCACAGCAGACTTTAGGATCAGCCCTGTTTCTCCATTGGTTATAGGCTTCAATGAGGGAACAGCCTTTCTGAGCGAGTGCGAAGTCCATGATCATAGTGGTACCTCCTGCAAGGGCAGCCTGGAAAGCGAGGTTGCAATTAAATATTTATTTTCCCACTGAGCAATATATAATATTAGAATTATAACAATTTAAAACCATTCCAACATGAAAGGAACCCATCTATAAACTATGGGGAAGGGAGGATGAATTAATGACATACAGCTATAATATACTACAATGCAATACAATAGCAGAGTTGGAAGGGACCTTGGAGGTCTTCTAGTCCAACCCCCTGCCTAGGCAGGAAACCTTATACCATTTCAGACAAATGGCTATCCAACATCTTCTTAAAGACTTCCAGTGTTGGGGCATTCACAACTTCTGGAGGCAAGTTGATTAATTGTTCTCACTGTCAGGAAATTTCTCATTTGTTCTAAGTTGCTTCTCTCCTTGATTAGTTTCCACCTATTGCTTCTTGTTCTACCCTCGAGTGCTTTGGAGAATAGCTTGA